TGTTATTCCCGACTATGGTGGATCTTTTAGTGTTGCTCAAGGTCAGCTTACACAGCCATATAAGTTTTGCGGGGATACCAAATTCAGACAGCTTAGCATAGTTCATACAAAGCTCGACCAACATTCATGCAATCAATATGCGCCTATGCCAAGATGCTTAGGTCTCAGTTTTTCGAGTTATTATGTTTATATGTTTCCATTTGTTTCAAAGGGTATTGTATGCTTCTGTTTTCGATCTGCATGACCCTTCTCTTCCAAAACATAAGGCATTCCCAAATTTGCTAGGGGGAACTGTTCTATATGTTGAAGCAGTAGTATGCTGTTTGAATAAACTTTTACTCCTGCCATGTTTGCTAGTGCCCTTAGCGTAATTATTGTTGTTGTACTTGTTGGCTTCGTTTGTGTAACATCATGTGCCTGTAATTATGCTTAATGTCCAAGCCAGAATATTAAGGCATGTCAGCGGTGTGGACAATTCCTGCTCTTGGCTTTCATCCGTTACAAGCTCTTACGCATTAATATGTGTGCATGTGCATGAGTTGTGTGTGTTTTATTTTATATTGCAGCTGCATTTTGCTGCCAGATTTTGCAAATTAGCCAAAATAAGTCACTAAATGCAGCTGATACTTTGCACCAGGGCAAACTTTTGCACACAACAAATTTTGATGTCACGTAAATATGCATGCCCATACACGTACTAGCAAATAATATCACTAAATTCTAAAAACATACATATTTACCATACATGTAAATTTGTATGTACATTATATAAAGCTTTTGCCTTTAACTGCTACATATAACCGTTTCTCTGTATTTACGAGCACACATAAAATTTTAAGCTCTAGTATTGTTACACATACATTATACTAACCATACTACGATCGGTTGCGCGTGTGTAAAAGTGTAAGATAAGTATTTAATTTAAAATGTCTAGAGTTTTCCGCATAGTTTGCAGGAATCTTAGTGCCGCATTTTGAATATGGTGAAAGAACAAACATGCTAACACACAAACATATTTATTTTTATTTATAACTAAGTAATAAAGCGTTAATATTGTTTGATGTGATGTGATGTGATGTTAATAATTATGTTCATTTTAATTTTGAACTTTATTTTTATTTTGCATATTTTTAGGCGTTAATTACATTTGCATGTAATTTAAAGTTTTATACTAAAGTATATATACAAATAAATAGCTTGTAAATAGTGGTCATTTAGAATTTAATTGATTGAAAAAATTTCTTCTCGTATTACTTACAAAATTAGCATACAATATATTTTAGTCAAAGCCGCAATAAAAAATTTACTCAATTTCGATATCGGCAAGCCAAGAATCTAAATACCAGAAGGAGAAGAGTACTGATCGGATCAAACTGACGAGCTAAGTTGATTTAACCTAGCACCTTGTCCATCCGATTGTATATTAACTAGTCCCCCAGTTTTTCAAATATTTCAATCAAACTTTGTGAGTAGATACATGTTTATGCCATATTAGTCATTCGTCGGACGCGGGTAGATGAGACCACTATAACATATAGGCCTTATGGAACCGATTCACTCAAAGAGACATATAAGAATGTGAAATTTGGTATTTTACGAAATCAGTTTTAAATTAATATTGACACTGAAAGTCATCTAAATGGACTCCCAAAACCGATTTTTGAGATATTTGATTTAATATTTGATCATAAACTGCAATACAATACATTTTATATATTATATTTATGACAGATAAAAATGCTTCGACGAGGCCGAAAACAGCACTACTTTCTTGCTGAAATTAAAAATAAAGTAACTCTCAGAGCTAAGAGTAGAGCTGACCGATACGAGGAAACCAGATTCAAGCTGTTTTTTTTATTTGTCTTATATGGTATAGCTGCCAGATATTGTTTAAACTTATGGAAAGAGAAATTTAGTTATTCTTCAACGAATTCAACTGATAATTCAAAGGTTTCCAATAAGGGGTGTTATTTTGATATTCAAAGGAAAATAAATTTTTTGACCTAAAAACTCTGATGTTTATTTCAATATTTAGAAGAAGATATGCAATTAATAATGGAAAACAATATTAGCCAAATGGATAACCAGGCTGCACTAACGGGACCGTACCCTTTTAGAGAAATTTACTATCACCAAATCGCAAAGTGGCTTGTTGGTGAATAATACAATAACATATTATATGGTTGATATTGGCGCAGTGGTAGATTACTCGCCTGTTAAGTCAGGATCCGTTGGTTCGATCCCTGCCATAAGAAGTCTGATGAGGAGATGTGGTGATCTCCGAAACAGCTTTCACTTCTACCATTTTTCTTTGTTGTATAACAAAATATTCAATTCATGCAACCAAACCAGGCCTTTAGCTTACTTAAAACTTCTAACAAAAATTAATATAAATAGTATGACCCCAAAAACAATTATGCGTAGCTTTTATCCATCAGATAGCCCCAAAGGTGGGATAAATCACAAGTTCCCAGTGGCCAACTGCGATCATCACGTTCCAAAATGTTTTTTAAGAGATCGATGGTTTCGTTGTTTGAGCATCGGTGTGTTGAATGTCAACGTTGTCCAGATACTACCAAACTTCGGCCATAAAAAAAATAAACTAATCGTCTCTCGATAGAGCAATACATTCACTGTTGTTCCAGTGCCATTTTGAGGCTAATGACCCCGCCGGACTATCAACCGCAGCAAACACTTAAAAGATGGAGAGGCTTTTCAACAATGAATATTGAGTTTTCCCAGCCACAGATGCGACAGTTTTGCTAATTGACGTAGTCGTCGACGTTGAAATAGGCCTCATTTGTAAAGAAGATTTTTTTATGAAATTCCGGATAATTTCCATGTATTCCAAAGAACTAATCAGCAAAGACACGACGTTGTTGATGATCATCCACCTTTAGTCTTTGTGTTAACTGAACTTTATAATACTTAATATCCAATTCATTTCGCAAACTACGTGTAATGACGTTTGTGGAATGCCCAATTCCAAAGAACGACAAGGAATAGACAAAATTTGGGTTTCTTCAACCCTTTGGATTGGAAGAGTAATTTTCTAAATTTTTCTTGAAAAATGTACACATGTTTTATTCTTCACTTCACCAGTTTGTCCCAACAGCTCTATTTTCTTTCTTTCCACCGATTTCTCTATTACGGTACTACAAGGTGCTTCACGGCGAGCGAAAAATATACTTAATAAAGGGTTTTCCGATAAGAATGAAAATATTTTTTCCATTGTATTCAGTAATGTTTACAATTTCATCATGATAAGATATACGCAAGAACAACGGTACCCACCAATAACAATAAAAACATATATAGGACAACGATTTTTTTAAGAAAATCATCTTCACCAAAGTGGCTCTGGTGCGAAGAAAATCCATATAATATTCATGAACAACAATTACGTTCACCTAAATAGAGAGTTTGGGGTCATTTTTGGTTTGGTGGAATCATCTGTTCATACTTCTTTCAAAATAAAGCTCGCAGAACCGTTACTGTGAATGGTGAGCAATATAGATATCGATCTGTAATCAACTTTTTATGGCCGCAATTGGAAGAAGTTGATCGTAACAACATTTGGTGCCAGCAAGACGGGGCTACGTGTCACACAGAACGTGTAACATCAGAATTATTGCGAGAAATGTTTGGAGATTCGATCCAAGGACAAAGTGCCTTTTTGAATGAACTTAATCGTATCGATTGTACTTCACGTTAAATAAAAAATAGTTGAATTAGTGTGTTTTTTTTTAAGAAATCATATTATTTTTATTGGAAATTCCTATACAACTTCAATCTGATATCTGGGTTTTAAGCTGGCGTAGTATGGTGTGGTATAGTAACACACTCGTATGCCGACTAAAAGATATTTAATTTTTTTTAATTAACCTAGTAACACATAAAAATATGTCATCAATGCAGTAATAAAGTAGAAATGTCTGTCAAGAGGACACAAATTTAATGTTTTTCAGTAATCCCTTTGTCATCGGATAATTAATCAGCAATTGTGCCGACAAACTCATTATCCAACGCAACGAGAGCAGGTCAAAAGAGAAACTATAAACGGCTGAAAATACGTGTTGCAGTTGGTAATTTTTTTGTTTTATCTTAATAATGGTGGAGCAGGTGTGAAAGTACTAATATTTAGTGGGTGGTGAAGCGACGAAGTGCTGCTTTATAAAATGAAAGAAGCCAAAATAACATGTTCGTAGAGAACGGACACAGAACGGCAAGAGGATGCTGAGGGAGAAAGCAGTAAATGAGTAAAAGTTTGAATGCGAAAAAGTTGTGAAACGAAAATGCGCAACGAAATGATTAATAAAATTTGCACTCAAAAGGCGACCGGGCGACAATTTGCAGTCAGAAAACGCAAAATTGGAAAAATAAAAATAAAAAATTGCTGACGATAGTGATAGTAGCTGATATCACTTACCAGAGACGGCAGGTGTTCAGCGAGATACGAAGTGCAGCTCCTATCTCGTAACTATAGATTGCCTACCTTAGTGTTTTATACGTGAGACAGTCACTCTCATTCTTATAATTTTTAATCAACTTTTCGACAATTTCAGAGGTTTTGCTTTGAAAAAAACTTCCTTGACACCTACACGCTCCTCGCGCTTTCCACTCTTTCTCTTAAGTTTTTCACCTTTTAGTTTAATAGCATGACTGGGGGTGGTTGAGTTGAAGTTACCATTCCATTTGTGTTGCTCAATGTTTTGTTTGCATTTTACCGGTGCCTCAAAAGTCCAGAACTTTCATAAAAAACAATTAAGTGCGAAGTACGAAAGTGGCACTCGTAAAAAGAGGTAGGAATGGTATTTCATTAGTTGGGTAGTTAGTTATTTCAGTGGCTCCATTGAAGTAGATTTTAAAAGTTTAATAGTGAAATGAGAAATGCGAATTTTTTTTCTGTTTTTTTTTTACAAATTTATCTTTTTTAAATTTGCAAAAGTGTTAAGTACTTGTACTGAGATAAATATTTATTTTTTCCCTTTTTTTCGCAGCACATCTACATAGCTATGGCGTAAGACCAGTTAAATTCTTTTTAATCAATGACAGACAAGTTTTAAAGGCTTTTTGGCTTGTTTTAAATTATTTAAGGATTTTCGGAGTCCCATGTACTACAAGGTAAAATTCATGAACGTATTCCCCGCGAATTTTGAAGTATTTTGTATAATAATTTTGCCTGTTTTCTCAGAACTTTTTTCAATAACTCTAAATTTATCTAAGCAAAGTGTAAAACCCATTGAAATACTAAAGAAATTGTGAAAAAAATTAGATTTGAAAAATCTGAAACTATTATTTCAGCAGTTTAACAACGAATGAGTATCGAGCGAATATCGAGTTGCTCACAGTGCTCGATACCAGGGTATCTAGAACTCTAGTTTGTACGACATTGTGAATGCTCTGCCATGAGTTGTTATGTGGGCTGGCTTTAATATAGAGGAAGGTGTAGGGCAAAATGTGCCGTAAGAAAGTTCCTGCTCTTGAGAGCGGTTAGAAAAAGACACATTCAGGTCTGTAGGCACCTACACTTACAGTAGCGATATTTGTGTAGAAACGAACAAAATATCTGTAGCCAATACAGTATTATGAAATTTCTTTTAATTTTTACCAATATTTTCTATATGTAGACGATTATGTGCATCATAATCTTCCATAAAAACTTGAAATATGGCCACATTGGAATCGGGTTTTAACAATTTTAACGCGTTGTGCGGTTAAGCAATCCATTTAAAAATGGCTTTTAACTAAACCAAAGCAAATTTATTTAGATTGACAGTAAGTCATAAGATTCTTACGCTGTGTTAGAGTACGGCGACTGTTGACACACATATATTATTTATCTTAATAAATCATACTGCCCTAAAAAACGAATCATTCCACTTTGATGATGCTGTCGTAGCACATGAAACTTCTATATACGTGTGTAAGTCCAACAATGTTATTAGTTAGGTGGATCAGAGTACTGATATTCGGCTAGTAAATATACATCTATAACCGTAGGGTTAATTGTAAATAGCGCAAAATCGAGTCGTTGCATATCTCTGATAAGTAGCGAAGACAAATGCTTTTCAATATAAAATTCATTGGTGGCACAAGATGTCGATAAATCTGCAGAATGTAGAAAGTAGTTATTTTTGTTATAGATCACATCATTTTTTCTATGAGTCATTTTAGATCCAAATCTAAAAAAAATTCTTTGTAGGTCATTAATGTTAAAATTTAAATTGATGACTTTTTTTGCTATCTATTCTAATGTTATCGACGCTTGTAGAAAAATAATTTTATATGGAAACACAAAGGAAGCAAAATAGTGGGACAAATTTTTCTGGTGGCCAAGTACATGTTGTTGAAAATGCAAAGATGTCTTGCATGCGAAGTGCTTAGAGTATATACATGCATATGCATATTTGACAGCCGAAAAAATTTGAACGCAAAGCATTTTTTCCAAAGCAAGGTTGTATTGTAAAATAATTTTTTTTTTGCCGTTCTTAAATGAATAGAAGAGATGTCGTTAGGTTAATCGTTAACAGATAATGGCGAATGTCAGAATTAAATACAGAAGAAATTTTAAATTTTATTTTTATTTTGTTTGGATAACATTGCGCACATGGTTTATAGAATACAAAATTAGGACAAGCGTTGACGTCACCGAGCCCACTTCGTAAAATATTTGCAGTTTTTTTTTTCATTTCAAATATGTTTATTTATATAAGTATAGGAACAATTTCATATACAGATGAAAACACAAATTATACAAATTTTCTTTTTGACTTTACGTACTAACGCCACCGCAGTCGCATATTTGACCACTTTTTTTTAAAAGATGGCGCAAAAATTACCGAAAAATAAGCTCGTGTGCAAGGTTTTGATCAAACCAAGGTCAAGGTTGCCAAATAAAACCAAATAAAAAAATAAAATAAATGAAAAATAAATAAATAAAACACAAATTTATAATTTTTTTGTATTTTGGAAAGCAATACTTCATTCCTGTAGATATATTATATTGTTACTTATCCGGTGAATTCAAGTTTTCTTAATGCCAAATCTTCAAAATAGGTTAACGAAAATTCTACAATATCACATGTTTGTCTCAATGTTTCAAAATATGTTAAAATGAATCACTCACACAATTTTTATTAAAATTTTCGTCCACAATATCTCACTGTACTTTTTTTCACCACTTTGAAGGTTTAAACTCGATTTTTTCACAAGATATGGATCATCCATTTCTCAAAAGCTCTTTAGCACACAAAGAAAATATGCTAAAATCGGTTTTTTTTTATTAAATATTTGATAATATTGCACTTTCGCCTTGAATTTTGGTAATTTTTACAGATTTTTACACTGTTTTCTCATGCCATTCGTATTGCGTGACATCAAAAAATGGCGTTGCTAAGTATAGAAATTTTTGTTAAAATAATATACCGAAATGAATTTCTATATTTACTCGTAGCATTTGCATTGTATGACCAAAATTTAGAGTTGGTAGCTATAGAAATTTTTGCTTAAAAAAAAATTAATTTTTATCAATTAAAATTTTTTGAAAACGGAAACACATTTGTTCGACATAAAAGTATTCAGAAAGTTTAATGATTATTATTATTAATTTAAAAAAATTTGACTCAAGACTTTAGCATTGTATGGTCAAAATGTCAAGTTGTTTAATAGATAAAATTTTGAAAATGTATTTTAAAATCTTCGGCTACCCACAAATTGAACCAACTTCGTCATTAAATATTTGATTTCTTCCTTGTCGTAACCTTGTGTTCTATAAACCTAGATTTCGCATTTTTGGTGAAGAGTTAAAATGAAAAGTTTGTTCAACTTTTTGGTTAATTTGTTGTATTACCTACACGTAGAATTAATATTAGGGATATTTTTTATTAGTTGTATTGAGGATTTAAACCTCCAGCTGATATTTTAGCACCGAGAACAACAAAATGCGATTTTGAAATTGCAATAAGACACTAAAGTAATAAAATCTGTGGACGCGAATTCCGCAATCCTTATTATGCTATGCGCAGTCATTCAGTTGGAAAGTTTGTGTGCAATTAAAATGTATGTAAGTATGTATTAATACCCAATTATGATAGAAAAATGGTTTTTATTAATATATAAATAAATTTTTGTATACTTCTCTACAAAAATCTGTTTGACGCCAGTACTCCTTTTCGACGACCTGAAAAATTGCGTTTTTATTTCCACCTACACTGGTAGACTAATTTCACTTGTTGTTGTTATGAAACTTGTTTTGGACTACTTCAATAACTTTATAGTACGCAACTATCTCCCCGTGACGCGCTTGACATTGCCAAATGTTTCTCAATTTTTGGTTGATGTGGATTCATCTCTTCGTCAAAATTGTTTGTTTATTAATCGTTCGCTTAATTCAGAGTTGTGTTTTTCTCTTTTTTTTGTATCGGTTTTGTTGTTCATTTATTTATCATTGTTTGTTGTTGTACCATATTTCCCGCATATATGTATGCATGTGTAATATGTATATAGTAGTGTATGTTTGTACTAATTTAGATAGAGAAATGTGCCGACGTTGTTGAAAGGTGAATGCTTGTCTGGCGCCACTGACCGCTGCCATTGCAAAATTATTCGTTTTTTCCGCCTCTCCTTCCGAGAGTCAATCGATGTTGTCTAGCGTGTAAACTTTATTTTCGAGCAATTTCTCTATCTGCGGTTGCATATCTAAACATCGGTCTTCCTTGCTACTTTTTTCTTACACTTTTTTGTGTTCATTTTTAATATTTCGTGCAACTTTCTTGGCTTTTACCGTCGCAAATGCTCAATGTGAAAAGGATGTTGCCATGACAAAATGATGACGTGGCATCGATCGTTCTTGAGTTCAGTCATATGCAGTTATGCACGCTTACATACATATGTATATGTGTAAGTGTTAGTATGCAGGTGATTTGATTATAGAGGCGTTCACGTTGGCAGTGCTTATTTATAACTTTTCCTGAGTATTTTGGTTGTTTGCTCTTGACCCTTGCAGTATGCAATATTTTAGTGGCTTAGTTGCTCAGCACGTTGGCAAAAAATACAGTAGCAAAATATGCGCTCAGTTCATTGGATGAATGTTTATTAGATATTATGTAGGTTTATTTATGAGCTACTTATAAGTTGCTTTATGTGATATGAACGTTGAAGGTTTTTAATTTTCACTAACAACTGTTATCATTAAAAGATTTTTGTATGAAGATTAGTCAATATTATAAAATATAAAAAGTAAAATTTTACGTGGTAAAGCGTGTCGAGCCCTTCATCTAATTTGTTCTAAACAAATGGACGGATACACAATAATATCTAGGCGAATTAGATACTACTACATATAGCTGATACTATTTTGGTCTGGACAAGTTTCGAACCCATGATCATCCTCAGCATGTACTTCAGCATGTACTACTGACAGTACTGCTGACAGTACGCATACGCGTATTGCTGGGCACTTAAAAAAATCCTTATATAAAGAACTATTCCGGAACTCGAGCTGAACGGTAAATACGTCTAATTCTGCTGGGCAGAAGCTGCCTGCTCCTTCCTTAGGAGGGAAGAATGTATGCAAGCAGGGCCAATCGGCAGCAGTAAATATAACCGTATTTACACTGATGGGTTCAAATGTGAGACAGACACAATAACCGAGGTAGTTCCCAACTCTCTGTATTACAAGTACAGATTGTAGGCGTTGCTGAAAGTGCAGGTTTGACGTGATGTTTCTTTATTTATTTATTACAATTAATTATAAAATATAAAATCTTATAATTAAGAATGAGAAGAGCGCTGGCTGCCAGAGCTTGGATTAACGTTATAATTTATCAGGTTTCTGATAGTTAGCCAAGCGACAATTTAGGCAATATTAGGAAATTGTTGCAGAAACAAAAACACAGAAAAAAACATTATTTTTTGATTTTATTAAATTACGAGGCCTTGTTGTTTGTATGAATTGATTATCTGTTATACAACAAAGAATGGTAGAAGTGACGGCTGTTTCGGAGATCACCACATCTCCTCATCAGACTTCTTATGGCAGGGATCGAACCAACGGATCCTGACTTAACAGGCGAGTGTTCTACCACTGCGCCAACATCAGCCATATAATCTGTTTATTTTTT